TGAATAGAGGCAACACATAATCCAAAAATTCTAGAAAAAATTTTGCAACTGGCTCATTCAATTTCTGCAGTATATTATTTGCAGCAAGAACATCATTACTGTTGACAGCATCAGTAAAATATAGTTTTAGAGCAGCTTACTGTTCTAAGATTCGAATTACCACACCATGAACTGAAAGCCATCTGGTTTGTGATAGATGTAGAATTTTGTGGGTCTTTATATTGCAAAATTGCTGAATTCACAAACTCTTTTTGGGCTAGAATTAAAATAATTGTAAATATTGCAACAGAGATCTTCGACGTACCTAAGTAATTTGTGACACGCATTTGATGCGCACAAGTGAAACGAATGGCATATACATTTTATAATATATAAGTTATGTATATCATTTTTTAATACTGTCATCAAAGAATGGTGATTTCCCATCATAACATTAGCTCTATTGGATGCAAATACTATCAAATTGTTTTTGTAGGGAATATTACTGTGGTTAAACATTTCAGCAATGTATTTATACAAGATAGTTGCATCAGAAGCCCTTAATTTAACAAGACCAAAAAAACTATCTTGAATAACGTCATCTTTTAAATACGTTACAACTAAGCATAAGTGTTTTATTGCGCTCCAATCCGTTGATTCATCCACGATAAGGGAAAATTTCTTATTTTGTAAATCTTCACAAACCTGAAGAAAACCCTCGTTACCAATAACGTACTTCACAACGGCTGTTTTGGTTCTGCTGCATGCTGATCCCTGAGTAATTTTCGAGTCGGTTCAAATGTTCATAATTAATTTAGGCAGATGCTCCATGACTAAGAAATGTAGGTCGTGCTCTGCTATGAATGCCGAAAGGCGTATTTTTCCTGAATAACAAGTAACATTAATAATACTAAATATAACAACAGTAATGTATCAATTAGTTTTATTTTTTAACTGTCAACGTACCTTCTTTAATTGATGCCTTTAGTTGTTTTTGCCTTGATCCGGATATAGCAAAAGTTTTCATCATTGAGACTTGTTTACTTGAGATTGTCTCCACTTTTTTATATGAAATTTCCTGACACTATGTTTAAGTAAAGCGTCTTTTCCACTTGAAATGATTGTCTTTTCCACAAGGCTTGCAAAGTGCAAATTGTCGCTTTTTTTACTTTGGGTTAACCACCCTTTGAACTCTGGTAGGGTTTCCCACTCAGGTTTGTAAAATTGTTCATATTTTTTTTTTTTTTAGTAACACCAGTACTAGAGCCTTGACCGATAGTATTGTATCTTCACCACCACTATTGTACTTTTGGTCACTTATTTTTGGATTTCTAATATTTTTTAATTATTCACAGGGTAAATAATTAAAAGAGTACATTCTTGGTGATTTCTATTATAATGTAACCAGTGATTATGCTATTACATAACAGAAGGCGCAAAACAGATCAGCATAAATAACTTTGTATTGGAAAAAAGTCTTTTACAATATACTGTATAAGAAACGAAAGTACAAAGAAATGTTTTATTGAGAATTTTTAGATACATTGAAAATAAAAATTTCTTTCTTGAATTATCGTCAACTTTTCGGTAGATTTGCTGCCAAAATTTATAATCTACCGAAAATTCGGTAGACGCAGCAACACTGCTACAGTTTTACTCTTTTAACTTTAACTGTAGCAAATTTGTTAATTAGGGATATGTAGTTTAGAGTGGGAGCTAATGTAGATTTAATAGAAATAAATGATAGATTTTTAAGTTTTGTTTGGCGTTTGAACTTCTTAAGTATTGTTTTATTAATTTTTATTTGGAAAAACTTCTTTCACCACTAACTACAGAGACAGGAAGAGTTAATAAAATTCTCAGAGTTACAACAGTATTCGGATACACTTAATATACAATAAAATATGAATACGACATTTTTCACAAAGTATATCCTTTACTTTTGTCCTCATTCTGTCGTTTTTCACCATCTGCAGTTTGTCAAAGTTTACAACGATACGGAGACGATCTTTCCTTATAGGCTACTGCCTCTGCAATACAATTAATTCAATTATTTTATTAATGCATAAAAATGCATGTCCAGCACCGCTAGGCATAGCTGGACATGAGTTACAGAAAATAGATTGCAAATAAACAATTTCACATAACTATGTAAACGTGGGCAATATATGAACTTTGAAGTGGATACAGTAAGCAATGGGCAATTAGTGAATACAATGCAATAGTACTTATGATACATGGAATTTACAAAGGAACAAAATGTGACAGTATAGCCGTAGAATAGGCAAATACAGTTGTAGAATGATTAAGCATATATGAAGTAACAATTAATTGTTGATATTTGAGCAACATTACATATACAATGGAGAGCATATAATATACANTTGGGTAAGGTGATTTACAAAAGTTAATAGGACGCTCGAGCATGTCAGCCTGAATTATACCTGTACTGGTGACGATGTCGTTGCTTCACTTGATGTTCCATGTGTCACTGAATAGCTTGATGACTTTGTCAATCGGAGGCTTTTTACATATTACTTGAAGGCTGGCATTAGGGGTGGTACGGTATGCCTTTGCGATGTGTAAGCTCAGCCTGACCGCTATCAAAAAGCTCCTTTGGAACGATCTACTCATCACCTGGCAAAATAATTGGGACAACAACCAAAACATCACTTACCAGTTCTTCCCGGACATCTCTGCAATCTTCAACTATAAATGGATCACCCCTAACTTCAAGCTCACCCAGTTTCTGACTAACCACGGCCGCTTTCACTCCTACATCAGCCGATTTGTGGATCCACGCAACAGTGGCCTTTGCACAACATGCAACACTCAGGACGGCAGCCTCCACTACATTCTTCACTGTGCAATGCTGGACTTTGAGAGGACACAACTACAATTACTCATCAGCAGTCGGCCTGGCCATTGGCCACAAAATAATCATGAGTTCCTTAACGACTTGATCAACAACAAGGACACTTACAACCAATTTATAACCCTAATCGACCAGTATAACATCAAGACTAATGTACCCACTGGCACATCAACTCTCAACTAGCTGTCTGCATCGTCTCCGCTGCTGTATATCAACATTTAAATACTGTATAATTCCTTTTATAATGTACTCTACATCTAACCTTTTCTTTGTTTTCCCAATGTTTATCCACATATTATGTTAACTTAATTATATGCGCGTATATATTTTAAAACTTACTGTTTTATCCTTCTACTCTGCTACTACTTTCATCTTTACTTTATTCTGCATGTGTTCTTAATTATATACACATATTGATCACCTGTAATTTGTTTTGTAAAATATCTACCTCGTATTATGTATTGTATATTTAATCTGTGCTTGTCTTTCGTTGTATATTCTCTTACAGCGTTATCAACACAATATGCATGTATTTACTGTACATTATTGTAGGTCCTACGTATTAATGTTATACTCTGCTACCATGTTATCTTTTATTTTATTTTGTAAGTGTATAATTATATACATATATTGCTCTCCTGTAACTTGTATCTATGTACCCTATCTCCAGCTATGCCTAGCGGTGCTGGTTATGCACACATATGTGCTTTAATAAAATAACAGAACTGAACTGTATATTATTGAATTGTACTAGGAATTAACTGGCCCTGCCAATTATCAGACAAATGGACATCTCTTGAAGTTTATGCCTTCACCAGACTTGCTAAAAGTATCTCTAAAATAACACATCATATAATATAATGCTAAAACTACATGCGCAATCTCATCAACTTGTCTACGATGTGTCTGAACGATAATATTTTAATTGAATGATTGTGTTTCTGGACATCTTCCATATTTTCTGTGAAAATTTGTGTTCTTCAAATTGATTCACCTTGTGCATTTGCCAACTATATACTTTATATCTTTAGAGAATAACATTTCCAACTCACAGGGAGTGTGATTTGGAAATGAGAAAATCACTAGTACCAATCTTTGTCCAGTTATGTTTTGATCATTATTAACTGGTGTCTGTGAGCCATCTTTTGGCAGTGTTGTCCTGATGGAAGTGCTTTGTTTTCCTATGCGTCAATCATCCTTGGCACTCATTGTCCTAATCGCAGTGCCTTGGATGTACTGTACTAATGGAATTACCGTGAAATTGTAATTAAGGATAAGGCTACGTGCTATAGGTAAGTATTGTGCCTTATCGAATAATATTTACAGAGTTTGCACTACTCTCAGTAGTTTGCATCCTGAAAGCAATACTACTATATGTGATATACAACAAGGGTTCTGATCATCATTGTCTGATTATGTGCCCCTTGATGTGGGTTCCTGTTTGTGGTGAGGGGACCTCCCAGAGATGGTTTAGTAACTTATCTTTACCATCCCTGGGATCTGAATGCCCACCCACGTGTTTGCCGTGCATGGTATCCCGTATGCCGGAAAGGGGGATCCTGGTAGTTGAGGGGCAACATAACATCCCCAACACACTGCTTTGGCCTTTGCTTCGGATAAACGGGAGGCTCAAATCAGGCTCCGTTTGAGTCAATTGGCTGGTCGTTGAGTCATTCTTGACCTCGGCTTGGAGTCAACTGATCGATGCAGATTGGGCGGACACGTCAGACAAGATGTGCTCTTCTTGATTGCATTGTGAGGGTATAGCTCCTGGGAAACCCTGGTGTGACGGTCTATGGGAATCTCTCATGTGATGGCATCCCCTTGTTGGGCCCCATGGTGGGTGGGGTCACTAGGAGCTGAACTTTTTTAAACAATATGGATTCTTAAAATCTAAAACTCCAACATAGTACAGAACAACAAATATCAAATGGCGGAAAACTTTCCAGCGAGCCTGCATACTTGATAATACACGCTACAGGAGATAAACCACTGTCCAAATGCTCTTCTTTTTTGATTCAAAAGCTATTTGAATCCACCATCGGGCATCTGAAAAAAATACAAAAGTTGAGGTCTGGGGATTTACTTAGAGACAGTGTCACCTCAACAATCAGCAAGGCTTTTGGCAACAAAAAGTCTTGGAGAAATGGGAGTTCTTGTCACACCACACGGAAGTCTCAAGTCATCACGTGGTGTGATATCTGAGGTAGACTTGATGTCAGAAGACGAATCAGATATACTGTCGGGCCTTTCAGATCAAGGTGTCACCAATGTCCAACGCATCTCTATTCGTCGAGACGGCAGGGTGATACCTACTAAACACCTAATTCTGACATTTAACAAGCCGACATTACCATCTGTTATTACAGCAGGATATCTGCGTTGCCCAGTTTGACCATACATTCCAAACCCACTGCGCTGCTTTAAATGCCAGCGGTTTGGACATTCTCAGGCATCTTGCCGTGGCAAGAATGTATGTACACAGTGTGGGGATGAAGGTCACGAGAGTACCGAGTGTACCTGTACCCCATGCTGTGTAAACTGCAAAGATTCACATCCTTCCTACTACCGAAAATGCCCTGCATGGCAGAGAGAGAAAGAGATTCAGTGCGTGAAAACAGTCAACAATCTACCTTACTCAGAGGCACGACGCATGGTAACTTTAAATGCACCAGTGAAACAGAAGACATTTGCTGCTGTTCTGAAATCCACAAATACATGTGGAGTTCAGACATACATTTCTGTTTCACCAAATGAATCTCTAACTCGCCACGAAAAATGTTTGCTTATACCATCTACCCAAACAGCAGAAAAGGAGAGCAAGAAAACCAAAACACCCCTACCTAAAACAGGAGTCATAACAACATAACAAGAAATGTGGGTTCTAAGAAGGCTGCTAAGAACCCACTCAACAAACAAAAATTAAAAGCAGCCATCTCCAAATCTAAGAGATCAGAGGCTCAGTCTATGAGTGAGTTTTCTTACTTCTCTGACGAGAAGACTAATAAGGAGCTGACACCACCAACTTTACCTCCAAAAGGCAAATTAGCCATAAAACTAAAGAGGGATACCTTCACAAAGAATGCTACCTCAAACACATAATGGATTACAAAATAATCCAATGGAACTGTCGTGGTTTTCGCAACAACTTCTCTGACATTAAACACTTGACATCCTCTACTTCATCTCTCTGTGTGGCACTCCAGGAAACCCATCTGAAACCTGGAGAAAGAATTACTTTAAAAGGATTCAATCTCTACCGCAAGGATGATGATAGCCACAACCGTGCCAGTAGAGGTGTGGCTATTGTAGTTTCAAATCACATCCCATTTTTGCCGGTACAAATAACAACAGAGCTGCAAGCTGTGGCAGTCAAAATTTTAATTGGCGTAACTGTCACAGTTTGTTCTATATACTTGCCATTAGATAACAGAGTCAATGAGAATGAACTGGATGCTTTGGTTGAACAGCTGCCAACACCATTTCTTTTACTAGGTGATTTTAATGGCCACAATCCTATGTGGGGCAGTCTCGACATCAATCGTCGAGGCAGAGCCATTGAGAGATTTATCGGCAATGAGGAAATATATTTATTTAATACTGGAGAAGTGACATACTTCCATGCCCCATCAAGTACGTTCACTGCCATTGATCTATCATTAGCAACTCCAAATCTGTTTTCAGCACTTACGTGGGATGTTGGATCTAATCCACTCTCTAGTGACCACTTTCCAATATTTCTAAAATACCGAGGCAGAGAAAGCTGTGAAACAGTTCGTCCACCACGCTGGAAACTAGAAACGGCAGATTGGCCTGCATTTTCCTCTTTGGCTAACATCACTGAGGAAATGGTCAATACTGCTAATATCAATGATGCAGTTGAAGTTGTCACTTCCAGTATTATTCATGCAGCTGAGAAAACAATGGGAAAGACGTTAACAAGATACCCAAAGCATCCAAAACCATGGTGGAACCAGGATTGCAAGGCAGCATTTAAAGCACAAAAGAAAGCATGGGAGATTTTCAGAAGATACCCCACTGCTAGTAATATGATTGCTTTCCAAAAAGCAAAGGCAAATGCCAGAAAAATAAGAAGGCAAAGCCAAAGGGATTCTTGGAGAAAGTATGTTTCTAGCATAACATCAGCCACTAGCTAAAAAGCAGTCTGGGATAAAATCCATAAAATCAATGGGAAATATGCTTCTCACTCTCTGTCCATGCTGGAAAATAATGGCACAATAATCAGCGACATACAGGGTATTGCTGATACGTTGGGTGAAACATTATCTACTTCATCTAGCAGTATTATGTATTTAAGAGATTTCCAGACTTATAAAGCCCAAAGTGTGAGAGTAGCCAAGGACGTAGATCTCTATCTACGCCACTTACGGGCATTAGTCGGTAAGACCAGTTCTCTAACTTTAATAGGAGAGCGTTATCAAAATTGATCCGAACGGCGAAGTTCAGATGCTCGTCAGGATTCTTTGACACTAGTTAATCACACTTATTATACGCGGATTAACACGCGTATGCGATCTGATTCGGTCACACAAGTACGAGACATTTTGATTAATAACGAAATAATAAATTTAATAAACAAGAAAATAAACTCATACAAAATGTGGATAAACGAGAGACAGAACTACTACCAATAACATACACATCGAGAGATAGCTATACTTATTGTCTACCTCTATTCGCGATCGAGAGAGAGAGCTCACAAAAATCGTTATAAAACATACAACCTGATTCAGTTGACGTTCGTCGTCTTCTCTGTAGGTAAGGGACACCTTGTAGATAAAGTTCATTTACTTCTTCGTACGGGAGATCAATAGGTGCACAAATATAAAAGTATCTTTACTAAGTTCAGACTCGGGACTTAGTCTATGGGACTCGTTTAAGGGCATTGGTCATCAGGAGGAAAACTGTGTGGAGTTTTGAAGCTTCGGATCTGTTGAAGAACTCCCCGAATTTGTACTAATTTCCCTTATATCTCCGGAATACCGACCAATCATCGGCCAGTAACTCTCCCGTGAGAACAGATGGAAAGGGGGATAATGGAGGGGTAAGCATTTTCCATCAAAACGAAGTTTTCGCAGATAAGGGAAAAACATAGGATGCACTGACTTCTGTGAAAGGAAAAACATCTGTCATGTATTTTTCCCACTCTAAAAATGTCCCTTTTTTCACAAAACGAATGAATATTTTGTGACAATTATTTAATATTATCAATAAAAATTATAAAATGGGACCCAGGGCCTTTCGGGTCTCACAGTATTATGTATTCAAGAGATTTTCAGACTTATAAAGCCCAAAGTGAAAAACAATATTTAAACTTTTATTCCTCATATAATGAGGAATATAATGTGCCATTTACCAGCATAGAACTACATACAGCAATCTCTCGCTCAAGGAACAATGCGGTAGGCCCGGATAAAATCCACTACAGCATGATTAAAAATCTGTCAAACAATTCCCTTTCTAAGCTCCTGTGTTTGTTTAACAGAATATGGACCGAACATACTTTTCCTGACTCTTGGAGGCTATCTATCACTATTTCCATTCCCAAGCCTGGTAAAGATCACAAGAATCCCTCTAATTACAGACCAATCTCTCTGACAAGTTGCCTGTGTAAACTCTGAGAGGATGGTAAATAGACGTCTGATGTATCTCTTAGAGAAAAATGAATACTTTTCACCACATCAGAGTGGTTTTCGTAGGAACAGAAGTACCATTGATAACTTACTAAACCTTGAAACATCTATACGCGAAGCGTTTGTTAGACGTCAGCACTTAGTGTCTGTGTTTTTTGATATAGAGAAGGCCTATGATCGCTGTTGGCGATACGGAATACAGTAGAACCTCGAAAACTCGGCTCTCGATAACTTGGCACTCCGGATAACTCGGCCACACCCTGACAGGGCAAAAAAATCCTTAGTTAATTAATTTTCATTATAGACAGCTTTATAAAAGTATAAAAGCTCTCATAAAGTATTTTTCTGAGGTCTGTCTTATCAGGTAAATTACTGTACACAGTGTACTCGTTAATTTTCATTTTCATGTAGTAAAGGCTCTATGCCTTCATAAAGGACGTACTTTTCCTTTATTTAAGGGTATTTGGGCAGTTTATTTTCTGTTATATTCTCAAGTAAACAATAAATACAAGTACAGTACAGTATTTTCTGAGGAAACACTTGTACTTATTTTTTTAATTCCATTCCCGATAACCCGGCATTTTCACAAACTCGGCCACCCTTCGGTCGACATTAGGCCGAGTTTTTGAGGTTCTACTGTACTTCGTGATTTGCACAAATTCGGATTGCGTGGTAATTTGCCAGCTTTTATAAAAATCTTCCTGCAGAATCGAAGATTCCAAGTCAGGATGGGCAACACTGTGTGTAGGCCTTTTACAAAAGAAGAAGGTGTTTTTTAAGGATGTATTTTGAGTGTGACTCTGTTCCTAATCAAAATCAACAGCATAGCTAATTGTCTTCCTCCCAGTGTAAAACACTCTTTGTATGTGGATGATTTTCAGATCTCCTGCCAGTCTAGTAATATGAGTTTCATTGAGAGACAACTGCAAACCTCCCTAAATTGCATAGACAATTGGTCCAAGACCAATGGTCTTACTTTTAATACAGAGAAGACCTCATGCATCCACTTACGTTGAAGGCGTGGTATGCACCTGGATCCAGAAATTTATTTAAATGTGGTTAAAATATCAATGGTCAATGAGGCAAAGTTCTTGGGAGTTTCATTCGACCCTAAACTGACGTTTTTACCACACTTGCGCAATTTGAAGAGTAGATGTTTAAAATCTCTAAACATCTAAAAAACGACTAGCAGAGCACTCTTGTCCACTCAAAGCTGGATTACGGATGCATTGTTTATGGCTCTGCGAGGGAATCTACTCTTCGGATGCTGGATCCTATCCACCATCAAGCACTACGCTTGTGCACCGGTGCTTTTCGAACTTTTCCTGTACAAAGTTTGTATGTGGATGCTTATGAGCCTCCACTATCTCTTAGGAGAGAACAGTTGTCTTTTTTTTTATTATATAAAACAAAAATCTCTTAGTAAACCTTCAGTTGATTGTACAGTATTAGATGTTCAGCTGAAAAGGTTATTTGAAGCTCGTCCAAATAGTGTTTCTGCATTTGCCATAAGGATGGAGAATGCGAGCAGCATGATTGATCTGAACACAGGCAACATTTCACAGCTAGAGGTCTGTAGTATATCACCTTGGTCAACTCCTTTGATAAGTGTTGACCTTAGCTTAAAGCAATTTTCTAAGGAATCCACACCAGACTATGTCTACAAACAGCACTTTGCAGAAATTCAACATCATGAAAGGAATTTAATTCCTATTTTTACAGATGGATCTAAATCTGATGATTACATTGGCTCAGCCTTCGTCTGCCAGGATGAAATCGTGGCAGAACAAATTGCATCGAATTCTTCCATCTTTTCTGCAGAGTTGAATGCTATTCATTTAGCTTTAAAATATATAAATAGGAAAGGTCATCGTTCCTGTGTTATTTACACTGACTCAGTTAGTGCACTTCATTCTTTGATCTCATGCGAACCTAGTTCTCACTCTATAGTGATTAAAATTCATAATCTTATTTGCCATCTTTTTACGAGGAATCTCTATAAAATATTGTTGGGTATTTGGGCATGTCGGCATAAGAGGGAACGAAGAAGCTGATGCAGCTGCAAAGGCTGCTAGTCCTTCACAGCATGAAATGTATATTGAAGGAAGTGATTTGAAGCTAGTAGTTAAAAAACGACTAGCAGAGCAATGGCAAAACATGTGGAATGCACAAATCCACAATAAACTACACGAGATCAAGCTGAATATAGAAAATT